AGCGGTCTGCACCTCTACCGTGTACGCCCTAGTCACTCTTTCACCCCTCCCCCCCTCTAAAATCAATTCTCTCCTGGAGATCGTCTTCGTGAGCCTCTCATGATTTCAGGATAGTTGAAACCCTCTTGAACATTTAGAAAGAGTGAATATGAAATTCTAATCACGAAAGGTGTTCCCCGAGGGGATACATACCTAGAGTTTGTTTTGTGAAGCACGTCAATTCTCTCCTGGGGAGCGTCTTCGTGAGCCTCTTATGGTTTCAGGATAGTTCAAATCCTATGATGTTCCGATTCAATGCTCACCGATGATCTGAGCCATGGGGCAAGTTTGTTTTCCTAAGAATTTGAACATTTCGAGAGCACATGTTTGAACATTTAAAGTGCATATGAACATATATGTACGAAAGGTCGCCTCCGAGGGGATAAATCACCATGTCGATCATTGCATTTTTGTTCCTGCCTCTCGCGTTCTCTTCTCTTCCCGCTGTCCTACCTTTCGTGTCTCCCTCCTCTCAAGTTGATTCATTCATTCATTCATTCGTTCATTCCGAGTTGAACCCAACATGCCACAGATTTGGCCGTTGGCCCGAGTTGCGCCCCAATCCCTCCCTGTTGGGCGCAACTTTGGGGGCAAGGACCACTTGGCACCAACTTGAGCCCAGGTTAGTAATCAGGTTAGTCAAAGTTTGCCATGCAAAACAACGATGGGAATACCCTGACTTGTCAAGAAAGCCGCAGACATGACTGCACAAGAAAAAGCCAGAACCCCCGTGCGCACTACGCCTACAATAGCTGCCTCTTTCGTTCAACGCACAACAGGCAACTCGTACAGCAGCTTTTTCGTTCCAGGCGCACGTGCAAAGCGCCGCCGCCAAAGGCTTTGCGTCTCACCAAAAAGAAAGACAACTCAACAACAGCAGTTGCCCAAGCCCATGCACTCCCCGGCATTTAGTGAGGGAAGAGTGTCTTGGTTATGGGATGCAGTCGTCATTTGTTTGGTAGGCAGGCACGCGCGTCCCAAATGACGTGCGCATGTCTCTGTCTCAAAACCGCGTGAATTTTACAACAGGGGGGTGCGCAGCAAAGTGTGAAGCCCATAGGGTGCAAGGGCAGCGACATCCTCGCCTCGACGGAGAAGAAGTCTACATTCTAAATGAATGCCAAAAAAAGCCATTGGAGGAGGCATGCGGCCGCCATTACCCTCCAGATTGACCTGCAGCCTTTTTTGCGATGTCCATGGGAACAGTGGCAGGCATCGGTCAAACAAAGGTTCCGACAGCTTTCCAAACGCGGCGATGCCTTTGAAGGCCTGCAGGCAGCCTTGGAAGCGCTATCGACTTGGCTTGAACATTATTCAACGGATTGCTTCTGTCTGCATACAAAAACATGTCGGCCTGTCCTAACTGCATCCCGGAACAGTGGGGCCATTACATCAGGCTGCCTGCGCATGGGCACAGTAAAGAGGAGGCCAAGAGCCAAGAGCGCTGTCATGGCAGCGCGCGTTTTGAAAAAGCAAGCGGGAAAGCTTGGAAAGCAAGCGCCGCAAACACGTAATGGGCAAAGGGTGCATGTTTGTCGTGGATCCCCAAGAGCAAGCTCTTACCTCGTTCTTGCGAGCACAGTCGCCAGAATGTAGACTTCAAATTCCTAGGAGGAAGCGTCGCGTTGCAGGCATTCCTGACCGCAACCATTCAAGATTCGGACTACTCCAATGGCGAAGCCTCCGCGCCCAGTGACGTCGTGGGTGAGCCCATTGACCTGCGTTCCGCTGTTTCCCCACGTCTAGTTGTAGCAATAGTATGATAGCCTCTGCCTCTAGTTCGGGCCCGGGCAGCGCACCCACATCCGATGATGATAAATCGCAAATGTGGAGTTAGATAGGGCACCTCAGGCTCTCGAGGCAGCTGCGTTTGAGAAACAACACCATGTCCCAAAGAACCACCCCTGTCCTCTTTTCCAAAGCTCAAAATCTACCTCTCAGAGAGCAGCCCGTAAGCCTGATGCTAAGGAAGATGATTTCATAGATCCCCAAACGGCCCCTTTGAACAACTTTCCACAGACGATGTCATCATGGCCCAACAAACGATTGACCTCTACAAGTCCGACACAAAGGGAGAGAAGATCAAACGCGCCCAGCTCCATTGATAGCGGGGCGGTTCGTTTTCAATCGAAGACGATGAGTGTGCCGGACAGCTGGAGCTAAAGAGCTTGCCATAAAGGTTCAAACGTGGACTCAAGTACGTGATGAGAAGTTGCCTAGGCTTGTGTTGAGGGAGTTAAGCTTCCACTGGGCGGGATCAAAATAACAAAATATTAGCAACAGTAGGAAGTAAATATCGTCCAAAGTAGGAAAACATGAGCAAAACTAGCCAAAGTGGTTCTAAGAACAAACAATTGTTGCTAGATGTCGTTGATCAATTTGAACGTGCTTATATTTTCAATCTTTTAGTACGTCTCCCTGCCAGTTTGTAGGTTCAAGTGCAAGAAAGGATCGTTGAGGCCAGGATAGGTGATTATTGAAGCAAACCATTCCGCTGATGCTATCACAGTCTAGCGTTGCAGGCATGGTAGTTACGACCCAAACATAAGTTGGCTGGCGCATGGTTTTGATGGAACATGGGAACATGGCTTTGTCATTTCTGTCTTCTACTTTGCTCTCCGTGCAAGGTGCCAAAGATTTGTCATGTGGAGAAGGTTGTGGAAGTGCCCCAAGTTCAGGTGCAAGAGGCACACATCTAACAGAAGCCTCCCAATCACTACATGCCACAGTGGGTGTTCCGCGCAAACCTGATAATATACTAACAGTCCCAATAGTGTTTTCTTGCAACCGCAGTTTGGTTTCATACGGCTTCTCTCGGGTGAAATGTTGTACTTCTTGTTTTTAGTGTGTTATTTCAAATGATTTTGTGTTCTTTCTGCTGCACTGCAAGGTGGTGCGGGCAGTGCCTCGCTTGGAGGTTCAGGAGATTATCCGAGAAGTTCCTAAGGTAGAGGCCAGGCATTCGAAGTGTTCATCCTTGGTGGTGGGATTGTTGAAACACATCACCTAAAGCTTCACCTTTTATGCGCGGTGCCAATTGTACTATACCTTTTGTATTATGGCTCAAGCATTGCATCCAGGCGTAAAAGAGTGCGCTATCAGTTGCTAGCTTAACGGATTTGACCTAGATTTACTGGCTGAGCCTGAAAATACAGGTTATCAGCCGTAGCCTCTGCCATGGCTACTGACGATCGTGTGAATGCCGCGCTTGCCCGTATCCCTTACTCCGGCAATGTCGTACCGACCGCCGGGGGCAACCTCGTGCCCGAGGATGTGGCGATGGGATCGGAAGGGGTGACGGCATACTTCCAGTTTATACAAAACAATGTTCATCAGATTGCATCGGGAAACGAAGAGGCTGCGCGAAATGAAGCAGAGCAAAGACATCGAGAGATCATGAACTCCAGGGTCGCAATGTAGAGCTGCCGTTGATCAGATGAAAGAACAATACAAGCAAGTCACGTCCATGCGAGAGAGGATCATGTCGTCGGAGAGACAATTGGCCGAGAGTCAGGCCAAGGTGGCCAGCGCAGATCAACTGCACCAACAAAGGATGGCGCAGCAGAAAGAGGAGGCTGAAAAGCTTCACACCTTAAAGATGAACGAAAAGATGACCGAGCTGGAATCTATGTTCGACAAAATGGTCGAGGACGCTTCCAACAAAGCTCGAGACTCTTCGAAGAAAAGAGAAGACAGCACCAAGTCATGGAGACTGAAAGGACTGACAGAAAAGCTCATCTTGAAGAAGAATTGCGTAAAGCATCGGAAACCAATGCACTACTTCAGGATCAGCTTGATGAGCTTATTCCGCAACGAGAAGCTGAGCCAGCGCATCAACAGCCGGGGACCGCGACACCCATCTTGTCGGAGCCCGCCGGCCGCGAGGCTGCGCCCCAGAAGGCCGGGATCGACTGGAAAGCCAAGCTTGATGCAAAGTTCGCTCAGTGACTTTTATCCATCGCGAACTTTGACTTGTCCAGTAGCTCCCGCTGCTCCAGAGCACGCCCAACCCAGCAATAGACAATTCGTCGACGTCCGTGAAACTTTCGATGACAGATTGTCCAATGCTGGTGAGGGAGAGGTTGATGGCAAAGTCCCGACTTCTTCCGGAGACGCAAATGCCCTGATGAGCGGTCTAGCGGAGTTGCTCAAAGAAATCAAGTCGAAGAAAGATGATGAAGGCAAACCGATGGTCAAAGAAGCCGACGCAATTGCCATTCCTGACATGCCCACACCTGAGACCTACCGTCAATGGAAGAATCTTGTTCGTGAGCTCGTTAGATCATCGTCTGACAAACCCGATGAAGCATGAGAGTGGATCATGGAGGTTTGGGACCCCAAGCTCTCTCCCGCCAAAGCTCCAAAACCCAGGCAAATTCGTGTCTCTGAAGCTCACCGCTGCTCTCACGAAGTCAGCCCGTGGTGACCTGTGAAACAAGGAGGAGCAAGCAAAGAAGGGACATCAGACCAGGGGTCGCGCTGTACTTCCTATGTTTGATGACTACTTCAAAACATCCGAGGAAGCTGGTACCCTTTACTTGTTGAAAGTAGCCAAGTTTGGAGATACTGTTGCAGACCTCAAGGAATTCATCAATCGTTGGGATGCTGTGCTGGCAGGTATGAAGAAGGAACCTGAAGAGACTGTTCTCAGGGACGTTCTCCATCGACAGATTCGCCCCAGCACGCTCCTCAAGTACGATATTGATACCTACGACCGGGCAAAAGAAGGTGACCCTAGCTAGACATATCATATTCTTTTCTTGTGAAGGCAACTCGTGACCTGATTGATCGTGAACGGCTTCGGGAGAATCGCAATCGGATCGTCGATAAGAATCAACCCAAGCCGAACAATCCAAAAGATCGGCAGGACTACCTGTGGTGCCCCCCACAAAGAGAGAGAAGCCCCCGCAACCAAGAGGGAGGACTCCTGACAAGAAGGAGATTCCACGTAGGGATTTTGTCAGGCCAAAATGTGCTAAGGGGAAAGACTGTCCTATCGGTCGCCGTCAAGACAGCGTACATGCGCCACGAAATCCCAGTCGTGAGCCGAAGAAGAAACTGACCAAGAAGGAGATGACAAAGACTCCTTGCATCTATTTCGCTCGTGGAGACTGCCGTCGAGGGGACGAATGCTTGTACCTGCGTGAAAAGAAAGGTGCAGCCGCTCCGAAGGACCCCGCTCGGCCAAATTCACCCAAGCCCAAGAAGGAACCAAAGCCGAAAAAGCCGGCCGCGCCACGCATTCGAGAGCGCTATGCTTGCAGCGCAACACGCCGCAAGCATGGTTCAGACCGTAGCCCAAGAAAAGAGAAGGCAAAGGGGAGCGAAAAGCGAGTTACCTTCGAGAAATGGGTAGGAGTGAAGAGGATTAATGCTCGTGGCCGTTGCAACCCCGTAGCGCACGGTCCTCGGAAGTATGATGAAGTCCTCACAACCGCAGAAGCTGCGAAGAAGGCAGATCCAATCCACGTGCTGAATGCCAAAACAGCAGCCAGAAAGCTGCAAGAAGTGGTGACACTGTTCGACAAATCGGTTCAGCCATCATGTGGTTTCACTTGTGTTGATGACTTGAAAGTCTTACTTGCAAATTGCTGTAGACATCTACTAGCCCCATGCAAGATCAACACTATGCTGATGCCACCGTCCGTCGCCACGCCAGCGCCCACAGGTCGCCGTCAATGGCTTATCGACTCTGGAAGTGAACAGGACCTGATCAGTGAGTCCATGTTATCCCAGCCATTCGAGAGGAAGAGCAAAAGAAAACCGAAGGTTTGACACGCTTCATTCAAATGGTAGCCAGTGGGAAGTACTCCCAAGCAGAAAGAGTTATTGATCAATGAATAGTATGCAGTGGCCTGCGTGCCCAGAATCAGGCGGGTTGTTCATGAGCCTCATCGACGACCATTGACGCAGCTGTTCAGCAGCATATCAAACACCTGGAATTCAAACAAGACACTGAAATGTGGGCAGCAGTGGCCAGACTTGTTTCGAAAGAGGGAGTTCTAGAACTCCAAAGGCAAAGGCAGCACATGACCTCGAATGGAACAAGGGGCGAAAAGGTTCCAAGAGAACAATGTGCGAGATGAGAACTCCGACGACGCACTATTAGATGCACTATTCGCTGAGCTCGGCTCAAGCCCGGCCTCAATGGAGACAGCCAAGATATTAGATGCTTTCGGTTGCCAACCAGGGTATGGTAAAGAGCAACCTGACGCTGTCCAAGCGTATGTCCAAGCAACCTTCAATGGAATCCCAACATGGCTTGAGCTACCTCGCAACAGGTGGCCAAAGGATTGGGAGAGGAAAAATTGAAGCCCATGGTCCCAATCGTGTTAGCGCTGTACGGACACCCTGACAGTGGGGGTATAGAAAGGGTGGCGACAGACCCTGCCCGAGACGTGGCAATCGATCTTCAGGTATGATGAGCTGGATCTCACTTGTGGTCTACGTCGATGATTTAAAACTGGCAGGGCCCAAGAACAACTTGGCCAAAGGATGGGCTGGCGTTCGCTCCGTGGTCGATCTGGGCAAACCAGAGCCCTACGACAGATACTTTGGTTGCATGCGCGTTGAGAAGAACGGTGTGAAGCTACCAGTGCTACATACATCGTTTAAAGAATCAGTACCTAGAGGGCTTTGTTGGTGATTCCTTTGATGAATGCCAATTGTGGGTATTCGCGGATGCCGACTTCGCAGGTGAGCATGACTCCAAGTCCACGACAGGAGCGACCATGATCCTTGTCGGCCCAAACACATACTACCCACTCAACGCATACAGCAAAAAGCAAACTGTGATGTCCATCAGTTCCACAGAGGCTGAAGTAGTAGCTGCCAATCAGGGTGTACGCGCCGAAGGGATTCCTACCCTTGCGCTATTCGAAAAGCTCACACTGTTCAAGCAGGCGCCTGACGCAGCAGCTCGCCTCGCAGCGATGCCCAAGCAGGAAGGCATATTCACAATCGCCCAGAGATTGATGAAACGCGAAACGGAAACGTGGATTTGGGGCTAAAAGCAAGTCACATCAATGGTATGGTTGCATCCTTTCCTGAATTCTGCGAGTATGGAAGACAACCAAGCTACCATTACGATTTTGTCTACTGGCCACTCACAGTCCATGCGCCACGCGAAATGAACCCAACGTGTTTCTTTCCATGTGCGGTCCTGAACCCCTCCTACCTAGCAGACGTGTGGCCTCAATAGCTAAAGCTACAGCTAAAGATGCAATCACTGCGACCTTGGTGACCGCATTGGGCCATTGATGGCAAGCAGCACAGCTCGCCATGCACAAAGCTACCTTGGCTAGCCTCATACCCCCATCGTTCCCCCAGGTCCGACATGTTGATAAACTGCCGAAACCTGTTCCAAGAACTTTTCACCGCGATGGCTTTGGTCAGGAAGTCCGCAATCAGCTTCGAGCCTTCCAGGTGGTAGATCTGCCAAGTCCCCAAGCGAGCCCTTTCTCTTAAGGCATACGATCTCAACCGCCAGGGACCATCCGGTTGTTGGATGATGGCAATGGCAGCTTGACTGTCGCCATACGTGACCACTGAGGGCACCCCCCCCAGGCCCAATACTTCCCCAAGTAGAGCCTGCAAGCTGTCCCCCATCACGGAGGATTCGATGTAGGCCAAAAGTTCAGCTTCAGCGGTAGAGAGAGCCATGCAGCTTTGTCTCGAGGACTCCCATTGCACCACTCCTCCTCCGATCATCGCCGCAATGCCCCGGACACTTTTTTCTCCTTGAGGCGCATAGGAGACGTCGCAGTAGATCTCGACCAGGTTCATGCTACGTTCGCGAGCCAAAGCATCATCTGGTCCTCGATCTTTGTCTCGACAGCGGCCATAGGACAGGAAACACTCTGCCGTGGCGTTCAAATACTCCAGGATGTAGTGCCCTGTCTGTACAGCCCAACGAGGATGTTTGGTGACTTCCCGCCCCAATGCCCCAATTGC